CGAAATCGAGGGCACGTACCCATATCTGTAGTGGTTACCATATGTGTACTCGACGGATTCCTATGTGTTGTCAGTCCTTGAGTTCCAGTCCGGGGAAATACTTGGGTCCCATACGAGAGAGTCGAACCAGATCTGATAATAAGCGTCCGCAGGCAACACCACCTCATTCAGCACAGTCGATGAGTTGGACCCTTCCGCCTTGGTCAACCTCCGCAAGCCAGCAATGTCCTCATCAGAATAACCAGCGACGATCTCAAAGGGCGGTAGCGAGGTGTTCATGTAGGCCTGGCACGTGTGGTTGACATTGCTCAAGCCAGCGACACGGTGCGTCAAGTCGCAGTGCAGGCCGGCGCAGAGGTAGAGCGATTTGATGTGCAGCTGGCTCACGCACTGCGGGATCAGCCTCGACCTTGAGGGCAAGCTCCCATTGTAGGACTGTGTGTCGTTAAACTGCGGTTGGCGGAGGGTGTTGGAACATGTGTCGAAGCAGACGCCGCCGCTGCCTGCGAGGGCAGAGGCGGAGGCGACGAAGAGGCACAGTGCGGCGATGAGGGTGGGCGGGAGTAGCCGGAGCCCCGACGACGGAGCGCGCATATTCACGGCCGAGTTGCGGGTATTTGCATCGACAAAGCAAGCCGACTGTGGGGTGCGCGTTATGCCGATGCACGGGTCCCCGAAAAGGTCGCGATGATGCTGTTGATATGTCGTCGAGAGGTGAGGTTGCAGGAGGTAAAAGCTGAGGTAGCCCGGGCGGGGAGACCTCAGGACAAAAAAGTAAGGTGGAATTCGCTGAGTGCAGAAAGTGCGCTTGGGGCAGGTGGCAGGTGGGCAGGTGGGAGAATTTGATCTTATCAGATCATCTGATTAAGCAATCGCCCCACTTTACATGCTTAGGTTATCGCGAGAACCCACCGGCATCGGCTCGCCGCGGCTGCAGCGTCACACTTGGATGTGGGCCGACACCACCTTGACCATCCATTTATAATTCACGTTTCGTGTGAGGCATTGCAAACGGTCTCCCTGTTCACAAGGCCTCTATGGAGTGGGCTATACCACCATCAACACTCCGCAGTCATCTTAACAGCACACAGAGCGGAAGGAGGGATTTCCTGAGCTTCAATGGCTTCCTTCATGCTAACTGAATAGGATAGAACTCAGTATGTTCTGGGAATCTCTTCTACGCACTACTAGAAAGATTTAGGTATTTCTCTGGACAGGTGCTTCGTACCTATGGGGACCTCAAGTCTGCTCCAGGAAGCAAATCGCTGAAGAAGCCACTGCATGAAGGACCAAGACCCTTGACAGACTGACCCAGACCGGGATTGGCTCGGCAGCGATCCGAAGCTGGGCAACCGACGCCGCCCCGAGTGCGGCAAATGCAGCTGTGGCGGATCCCATCAACGTCTGCCCGCAGGCCCCACTCCCGGTCAGAACCGGCCGCAGGTATCGGTGCAGCCGAATGAGGACCTCCGTATTCTTGCCAGAAGAGAACTTTGCGACCGCTTGTAAGAACATATCTTTTGCGCTGGGCCAGATTGTATGTGATAGTCTGGGCTTGATGCTGGCGGATGGCAACTGACACGCAGACTCAGGGTATTTTCCGAGGTCGTTCTGCAAGCATGCCATTCGAAAGAACCAGGGATGACCTCGTTTGATCAACCTCACCGCTTACGGGCGTTCCCCACTGCGGGCACAGCGGATTGATCTGGTCAACACTGCCAAACTGATCCCAGAGTAGGGTAGGTATCTATGCTGCTGGAGGTACCGATAAACTGTCACGATGGTATCACTGTTTCGGTGTTTCCTGACACCAATTGCTCCCATATGAACTCTCGACCCTAGATGCCCATAAATCCTCCTAGCAGCTCCAAAGACGACGTCAGTGGTCAAATGGATATAGATTGGCAAACTCGTCAACGTGTCCCGAATCACTCGACCCGAACCGCCCACTCGAAATCCACTTACGATGAGGCACAAGTTCGAACAAAAAAGAAACTCTGGGGCATTTCTCATGCTTCGAGTTCTTTCGGAAAGAAGATTGTTACAGTCTCTAACATCGGCAGGTTAAGTCTATCAGAGGGCTACGGTATTCAAGACGTTTATTGTAAATACCAGTTGTCGGCTTCATTGATGACACTCATGAGTGAATGCACGTGACAAAGGTTTCTCGTTCTAAAGCCATTCGACTAAGGCAGTTAGCACGTACCGCAGTAATACCTTAGTGGGGGATGCAGGGATCAGTCCGATGATGCCAATCAGGTCGGTGGACTTGGGCCATGATGCTGAGCCATTCACATGCACGCGATTGTGACTTAGCTCCCCCAAGGATGATTAGTGCAGCGTCAGCTCTCATATCTGACATAAGCCGCTCATACTCATTTGTTTCCTACTGGCGGAATGAATAAAGAGGTTAACCATAATGAATCTTGTTCCCTGCTGACTGTATGAGCTTGACTTTAGCGAGGTGTAAGCCATTGGGCTAGGTAATCCACAGGTTCTCAGGCAAATATCTCTAAATAGAGATGAATTCCTCCTTTTTGTAGACAAATAACTTCTCAAATGTACCAGCAATCTTTCTGCGAGTCGTCATGTTTGGCACTCCACTGATTTACTCCTTAGCCATAGTGCTGCTCTGCTACATTATCTTTAACCGCATCCAACAACGACATAGGGGTCCATTGCCGCCTGGACCCAGAGGTTTGCCATTTCTCGGCAACATCTTGGATCTTCCCCCTTCCGGAACTCTTGAATGGGTACATTGGCAGAAACACAAGGAGCAATATGGCCCAATCACCTCAGTATCTGTGCTTGGTCAACGTTTCGTCATTCTCCATGACAAACAAGCCGTGCTTGACATGTTGGAGACACGCGCTCTGAAGAGTGCGTCGCGGCCTAAGCTGGTTTTCGCTGGTGAGTTGTACGAGTTTCACTTCCACGAGAATCGATTGTTGAACTAATGTGATTTTCCTAGAGTCGGTTATGGAGACATCATGGGCATGATGCCGTACAATAAGAAATTTCGATTGCATCGGAAACTTACGGCAACTCAAGTCAGTAAGAAGTCGATCATACGATTCGAACCGATCCAAGAGCGTGAAACTCTGCGGTTCTTGAAGCAAATATACGAAGACTCCAACAGCGATACCCTGCAAGGCCATTTGAACCAGTAAGCAGTTGTTATTGTATACCTTACTCAAGAGTGGGGGGATGAACAAAACCTGACTTTGTAATCCAGATTCGCGGGCTCTATCATGCTACGCATTCTCTACAATTACAGAACGGACCCGAAGAAGAACGACCCCATCGTGGCCATGTCTAAGCAGGTAATGGAGGATTTCTCCAAAGCCACGAGCCCAGGAGCCTGGATGGTTGACTTGATCCCATGGCTACGATACGTCCCAACTTGGATGCCGGGCGCGGGATTCAAAAAGACGGCTGAAATATTCCGACAACATCTCTTCCAGGGAATTGAGGTTCCTTACGAATACGTCAAGGAGCAAATGGCGAATGGAAACGATGATGTTTCGTACGTCGCTGGCTTGATCAAAGATCTCCATCGGAAAATTGACCCCGAGGAGAAGAGCGTTATCGGCTGGACAGCTGCATCTATGCTGAATGCAGGCACTGATACGACTGGCGCGATGCTGTACTCCATCTTTGCGGCCTTGGTCGTATACCCAGAAGTTCAAAAGAGAGCACAGGGTGAGGTTGACCGCGTGGTGGGCGACTCACGTCTTCCTTCATTCTCCGACAAAGACAGCCTCCCATACGTTCACGCTATAGCACAAGAGGCACTTCGCTGGCACACACTTGCACCCATGGGCTTCCCGCACTTGACTACGGAAGACGATACTTACAACGGCTATTTCATACCCAAGGACACGCTTTTGTTTCCTGCAGCTGCGTCGCTCATGCACGACCCCAACACATATCATGACCCAATGAAGCTCAAACCTGAGCGGTATTTCGAGCCGTTCAATGAACCTCCACCAACTGATGTTGTGTACGGATTCGGACGCAGAGCTTGTCCTGGAAGGTATATTGCCGACCAGACAATCTTTCTCTGTATTGCGCAGTTTTTGGCGGTTTTCAACATTCAAAGAGCGATGGAGGAAGATGGAAGGGAGATTGAGGTGAAATACGAACAGTTGCCGGGTGTTATTGCTCGTGTGAAACCTTTTCCGCACAGAATTGTGATCAGGAGCGAGAAGCACCGACGCTTCGTTGAATAATCTACTAGTACTACTTTAGGCGTTCACAGCTTCTTCTTCTCCAAGTCACATATAATACAGATGAGATCTTTCACCCTGGCATGATTCAGATCAACTGACGAGTCCCATGATCCTGCAAAGTCCAAGACTGGCGAGGAGCATATTCGAGAGCTAGACATGCTTCGGACTTTACAACTTCTCGCAGCCGATCTCTCGTGTTTGGCAATAGACTGACTAAGTGGATTCATCTAAGTCATGTTTTTTGTCTACTCTCGGAGTGCACACCGCGAGGAGGCGACTTCCCTTGATAAGGTACTTGGCGTGTCCACCTGATGCTGCCCACGCTGCGTTTATGTATCACCAGCGGATCCCTCGCGTACATCCCGCCGGCTCCGATAACGCGAAATTCTTCGACCACTGTCAGATTGAAGCAACGATTGAGGGGACTGCCCGGTCCCATCGACCCATCATAGATCACTCTGTCGGGCTTCAGGGAACTTCTCTTACTCCCTTCCGCTCCATAGTGACACATCACTGACCGGACCACTAGGGTCGATATGTCTCGAATGGTCATGACAAGTTTCGCGTCCCGCATCGCAGACTCAAATCTTGCCCATACCACAAACCCGGAGAATATGGGCTTGGGAGATGGGACCCGGTACAGGTCGCGCAGCAGCTAGCTACTGACTGAAGCATTTCGTGCGTCACACTAGTTTTGTACATGACGTCTTGCCTACATGTACCCAGAGAACCTGGTGTTGCCGACTGATTCAATGGCTATGACACTAATTACTTGGTCTCACTGTCCTCCTTAACCTCACTGCTTTCTTGAGCCTCACTGCTCTCCTTAGCCTCACCAGTCTCCTTGACCTCATCGGTCTCCTTCACCTCACCATCATCCTGGACCTCACTACTCTCCTTCACCTTACTGCTCTCCTGTATCTCGCTTTTTTTCTGAGCCTCGCTGCTCTCTCCAAGCTCACTGCTTCCCTTCATCTCACTCCCCTTTGGGGTTAAGGAGACGACCATGTCCAAAGCGGCTTGCAGTCTCGCGGTTACTTCATTAGACTGACCCCCAGCCTGCAGGATATCGCGAATGGCCTTCGTCCAGAGGGTCCATACACCGAGATTCCAGTTCTTCGTGTCCGTCTCCGCCATGTTCTCGTAGATGAGTTTTCCAGCATGAATAAACCAGTTGGATGCCACCAGCAATCTACATTCGCCGAGCTTTCCAGGAGGAAGGGGCTTTTCAAGGGCGAGCTCGATGTCGACGCTTGGATACTTCAGGGCCCCAGGACGTGGCTGATATGCTTTGGAGCCATGATACCGGGCCAAGAACGAAGAGAAATTGACCCACTCGTCGCAAGTGAGGATGAAGTCCTTCTTTGCTTCGGGTTCGGTCGGTTCAGGCCGGTCGGATGCTTATTGTAAAAATGAGAAAAGGCCTAATATGTGAAGCTGGTTGGTTTGACTTACCAAATTTGGCACTCCAATTCTCGTTACACATTGAGGTAAAGACTGGGTCATTGTGGTATGCATGGTGTTCTTCCTATGAGAACTCCGCCGTAAGCAACACACTTCGTGGAAAGGAGAAGTAGAGGGAAGTAGAAACGTACACCATAGCTCCGGTATGTCACCTTGGGCAGATTCTGCAAGTCGATCAGAAGGTGCACTAAGCAGTCTTGGCGAGGATCGTCATAACGCAGTAGCCATGACTGGTAGGAAATCGTGCCGTAAACGCCGGCGAGGTACATGGGCCAGCCTTTGTCGTCCTTCATATAAGGCTTATTAAGAGGGTCCCAGCTCGAAGGAAGGAACTTAGCCCAGTAATCCGCTCCTATACGGAGTGAAGCTTCAAGAGTGGCCAGGTATCCTTTTTCAGGAAATGAGAGGAGCATTTTGAGAATGATTGAAGCGATTTCTGTTTCTTGCTCATCTCCCCAACTTTCCAGGTCGACTATCTGCTCTTCGAGCTCAGCTCTCCACGGTTCGACGGGGGACGCTGTCTGGGGCTCTTGGCTGCTGCCGACAGGCACAATCTTATCGCCGGATCGTTGAGGGTTGACAGATCCCTGAGATCTCAAGGTGTCCGTGGTCATTTTCTTTTGGAATGATTTGATGATGAGGTGATTTGATAGAGTGATTGGACGAAGTGACTTGATAAAGTGATGTGTTGCTAAGAGTACTGTTGAGATGATGAAGGTAGAACAGTTCACAATGAGGGTAACAGGTTATTAAAAGTCGAGGCAGGAGGCAGCCTGGGGCTGTGAGTTCATGAGGAGAAGGCAAGTTCACCCGTTGGAGAGGTCTCCTCACGTGGCCGGGGTGGTAAGTGGTCACTGCATAATAAGCGCCGACCGTTGCACAGCCCACCCAGCGAGCGCATCGCCGAACCACCGTGCCGGTACCGCGGCCTCACAGTCACAGCCAGGGTCCGAAACCTGCCGGGTCACCGAGCACACCGGCCAAACCAACACGAAATCGAAAGTAACTAATAATAATCGAACCTTGGGCGACTTTTGGACAAGCCTTGCCGGGATGTAATCTTGGAAGCAGGGTTGTTCTTCCGCGTTTGTCTTTATCAATCGTTCAATGTTAGAAGGTGTCACTTTTTTTCTCAATGACCCAACCAACATCAAGTCCAAACTGACAAGCAATCATTGGACCGCCAGCGACTTGCCAACACAACTTTTCGGGCGGCAATGTTGGAACCAAAGTTTTTTCCTCTCGCGCTTCACTCCACGCACCCAACTCAACTTTGACTTAGAATTCATTGGTCGATTGGCGAGATGAGGGAACTTGACTGTCCTGGTTGGCTGGTTGCGTGTTTGCGTCGTGGGTTTCTCGGAGTGGAGCATTGTGGTTGATCGTTTGATGTTGGAACAGGGCGCTTTTTCTCGACCCATCTAACGTCCGGTTGCTAATTATTGCAAACGCGGCGGTTCCTGTAGATCTTGAGCCGAGAGACTCGAAATTCGATTTCCCTCTACTTAAGAGAGTCCGGGATGTCTCATCTCGAGGTCTTTCTTCATTGCTCAGAGCATCCACATCCTGGAGAAGTGACCTTTTCTTTCCTGCTTCTACTCGACTCAATATTACGTTGACAGCAATTCCTCAATCGTTACCATTATTTTACATAGTACTCTTTCACCTTTTCTTTAAATATCTCCCATCACTCCGAATCGACAAGATGGGCAATAAGCAATCTACACCGCAGAGACGCAACACGGACAACGCTGAGGAGCACCTTGTGAGTATCCTTTTTCTGTTTCACCACAATACCGCATTTTATCAGACGGCATGCGATACATGTAGCTCCAGTGGTTGTTGGCAAAAATCAAATAAAGCAGACCGTGATTGGCTGACTTCTCGGCGCTGGACAGCAATACCATACACTTCACGGTCCTGTTGCCGCGAAAGATGTATCCAAACATCTCGAGACTGTACCCCCGCCTCACACACGCACCCCATCCAGGTACCCTCATGAATTTCGTGGCACTCAGGTCCGGGGTGAAGGACCAAAGACCTTTGACGACTTCGCCACGGGTCCAGGTCGATCCCAGGGGCCTACTGGTCCTATGCAAGAGTATCCCATCCCACAGTCTGGCGAACAATTCAATTTCCAGTACGACCGTCGCCCCTTGAACGCGCGCCAAGCAAATCGGCGCCTTCATCCGAATGAACGAGCAAATGTGATGGGGCCTGCCGACGGCCGACCGGCGAACGATCCTTTTCAAACCCGGGCTGCGGTTCGTGTGGCCCAAGTCAATGGCGGGGAGAAAATGGCCGTTGTTGGTGTTATGGCTCATCCGACGGGGGATACGGCGAAACTTGTGCGAGCACCCCTTGAGCCCCTCGGCCGTGAGGGTCGGCAAGAGATGACGCGGCACGCTGATGAACGTGGTCGTGTCCGGACGTACCCGCCCCGTGGCATCGACGCCAAAGTCTACGAAGATGCCGAGACTAGGTCTGGGAGGGTACGGCCGCCTGCCCATCCTCAGATGAGGGTGTGATGGAGCTGGCATCCATCGAATGACGGCAGCAGTACATACTCGATGCATGTCAAGTTAGCATGCTTTGCCAGATGTTATCCCCATGGTTGGTGAGGCTTAAATGGACTTTAAGCGGCATTCAGCGACAAGGATGTCTCAAGCAGAACGAACTAGAAACCATTTTCTTCCGGATAGATAATACAGGGCTCTGTTCTCAACTATGGCTATGATTATCAGGTCTCTATTCCCCTCAAGCGGACCTATACAGCAACATATATGATTCGCTATTGCAACTGCATGCCGCTGCCTAGAACCACTCATCGTTCACCATGCTGTACCCAAAAGGCGAAAGACCAACGTTTCAACTACCGCCATATCAAAGTTGGTAGCAAGCTCCAGCCTTGGGGCTGGTGAAAGACACTCCACTAGGGTGGTAGTTCTTGCCTCCCTTGTACGAGTCGCACCAGCTCTGCGGGACATTGGCGCAGTTGACCGATAGGTCGCCGTAAATGTCAGAGGAGCTGTAGACCTGTCCCTTTTGATCGTTTTGGCACGTCCGCTGGGCCCAGGTTTTGAACTGCTCAAAAGATCCGTCTCCCTTGGCTGAGATGGTGACCCAGTTGGCGGCCATCACCGGGGTGATGAGGGCGAGGAGGGAAAGCTTGACCATTTTCTAGTCTTTGTTAGTTGACAAGTTACTTTGTTTTTAATCGAAAGAGGACGAATGTATCAAAATGGCATACTTCAAGTTCTTGCTGTAGAAATTGCGTATTCGTATTGTTTTGGGAGAAAAAGCTTGAGTGCGGTGTCCGTCAGACTCCCGATACTCGCTACTACCAAACAGAAGCCATATTTATACGAGAATAACTTCAACTCCTTACGCTCCTGACTTCGGATATTGCGGATTGAACGAGCCTCGGACACGCCTAGTAGCTTTTGGATTCAATAACTTCTGAAAAGTCAAATTAAATGAGTTGCGAGAGCGAGACCCACCTTACATGGGTTTCGGCACCCTCAGGATAGTTGCACTCGCAACTTGTTGAGTTATTAATGCGAAATAAAGGAGTCTGCATTTCCAAGTCAACTAGACAACTAATTCCTCAAGTAAGTATGTGAAGTCTATCTTTACATGAAGGAAGTCGCTGTTACGTGTACTATAGTATGCTGTATTCGGGCTAATTGCCTTCCCTGGAAAGACCAGAGGTTCGAGTTCGTGAGACTATGACTCGTGCTTGGGTCGAACTTTGACCGGCTATGTAGACCGTGCCGAGCAGAAAATCACTGATCTCCATTTCTTGTAGGATTTCCCGTTCTCCCCGGCTTAGATCGGTGATCAACAAAGCTTGTACTTTTGCTGGGTATTCCGGCTAAAATTCCAAGCACATCTCTGTTCTCTGAGCAATCAGGCTATCGGACGGATGAAATGCCGCATGCGCATATAACTGCTCAATTGGGGCCAAGAATTTATACTCCAGAAGTCTTAAGCCATTTTTACTTCCAACCAATAGCCCTAGCACAATCTTACCAACTTGATCTTTATCCGAGGGCAATTGTTATTGATCAGCTCCATCTTCTCATACGTTTCGTTATCATCCGACAATGATGAACGGTAAAACTTAGGACTTGAGCCGCTACCTCAAGAACTAGAGCACTATCCCATCATTCTTTTGTTCACACCGCCAATTAACTCGTGACGCTGAGGAGTGTCCTTGGACGTTGAGAATCGCAATGATGCCAATCGTTGTATCGAACCTGCATTTCTCTGCACAACAGTAGTATAAATGACACTCGCTTAGTCCAGACTATAGCTGCTGCATCATGAGAAAATAAACCCAACTTATATTGACTGGAGATCTATATCATCAGACAGATGCCGATCTTACATCAAGTCCTTAAACTCGGGGGTAGCATCAGCAGTCGAAGTTGTTTCCCCGTCCATCTTTGGTTCTGACGCTGTTAGGAAATGAAAGCCAGTTAGAAGGAGTTTGACGACTTACTGCAAGCACACAAACGACAATGACCCATTGCAATCAGACTATTCAAAATGTCAGTGCCTTTGTCAAGTCTTGTATGTGATTACGACGGGGACGTACACTACAGAACTTAGCGCAGGCGTTCTTCTGAGAGCCGTATACGCATGTCTTGGGCTGCGGTGAACACTCATGTCAGTATAAGCTCAACAGCAACATACAACGTGTCAACCATCCTTCACGTACCCCAGACGGGGCACATGCATTATTGCCTGAGCAAGTGATCATGGCAGAAGCCACGGCTGCCAGGAGGGAGATAATAAAGACTTGAGAATGCATATTATCAGATTTGTTCAAAACGTTCCGGGGGTGTGATCTGAAGAAAAGTGTGCCAACATTGCTCTGATGTACTTTTGGCCTCTGCCCTTTCCCCTCGTGCAATCTATGAGCTACTATCAGGATGCAAAAGGTTAGATATCTGATTTGTCGAGTCGATATCACTATCACCAATATGATTACATGACTCCGCCGGAAGGACACTCAAACTGGAAATCAGCTGGCTCCAGAAACCGCATGAATGCTCCATTCACTTGTCAACATCACTCTTTCTCTCTCTCTCTCTCTCTCTCTCTCTCTCTCTCTCTCTCTCTCTCTCTCTCTCTCTCTCACACACACACTAGCTCTCACTAACATTCAGTCCATCGTGTTCTTCGTGTGACATTTCTGCTAATGTCCGCAGTCCCAGAGCAACAACTTCATTGCATCTCAGCCCGTTGCTTTTCAATAGGAGACTCGGATCGCTTCAAGTGGTACGTTTTTTATCTCGGATTTCTGTGGATACAGAAACAGGAATCGCTGTCTTTGGGAATTTGCTTCTTATTTCCAGATTGGCTCGCTGGGCCATTTGAAATGTGATTGAGGCAAGGCTCATATGAGGTCGTCAGTGAATAGGTCTTCTAATTGACAATACGTATCTCCGAATCGAAGGAATTGTATCGAGTGACAATAGATCATGCTCTGTGCTTGCGTGACTGGGGACAAGAAAGGCAGTCATATCACTGGACGACATTCGTCCGCGGCTGAGTTGGCGCAGTTTTGAGCAATTTATGTAATTGCTTTTATCTAACTGCGAACTCTTGGTGAGCTACATGTGACTATCGACAGAGTCGCCTAAACCATGACTCTTTCTCCAAATAGAATGAAGTGAACGTCCTGCCATGTGACATCTGACCTCCTAGAAGTTGCGCTCCATCGAAGTCCAAGGAACAAGCCATTCCGTCTAGTTGCAGTCGTTGCAGTGCAACAGGCAGTTGGTCTGGCAGCCAGCGCGCTGGAGGGAAGACATGCGGTCAGGTCCGCCAAAGTCTTGGAGAAACTTTGAGTCAGCACCCTCGGACTTGATCGCTCGGCGGGAGTCTTCCGGCAACTTGATGATGCTACTTACTTTTGTGGCATTCGCCAGCGCACTTCGCGCAAGTTCCTTGGTAAGGGGCGGCACCACTGCATCCGGCCATGACGGCAGGGACGATGGCTGTGGCGATGAGGAGGATGGTCTTTGCGAACTGCATTGTAAAGGATGATTATGGGGTTGGTGAGGAAAGAGTTGATGTAGATGGATGGCTATGGGTGTGTTTGAATGTGATGATGTTGTAATTGTGGTTGTTGATGTTGTAATCGAGTTCCTTCAACATCGCGAAGACACCTGCCTTTTATAATGTCCTCTAGACTGTCGATAACTTTCAAGGTCTGCTATGTAGCCAATCATTTTCTCTAAAGCCGATTGACAGATTATCCGAGGCTGATTGAGAGAATTGAAGCCCTGATCCGACTTCACCAATCTCATGATAGAAAGAGCTTAGACATCGCTTCGCTCATTCTCTCGAAGCAGCGTAGCGCTTACAAGAGTGGATAGTCCATGAAGGAGGCTGGTGCAAGCATTTAGAGTTATCAATCTCTCTGCGGGTTAGATGTGGGGACTCAGGCAGCGGCCCGCAATCCTATTACCTTGTTCCTGCTCTAGGCATCGACATTCTGCCGGGCTCGAATGGCTTGGCTCGCACTTCCTCGCACTCGAGCATCCCATCAGCCCGCCAATAACCGTTGATCTCTAATGAGACAGGTTGAGTTTAAAGCTTAAGCTATTTCTCTGGGGTTGGAAGGATTTTATTACGGGAAGAGATTATCACATCTTTTCTGGATATTTGGCTCAAGTCGTATCATTGAAGTAACCTAGCGTCTTGGCAGAGACAGTTCTAGCTTCTTCCATGTGTAAGCCATGGGCTATCATGAGGAGTATCTAAGGCTATGCGAGCTCCTGAAAATTTGAGGGCAAGCCCTTCGGCATAAAAAACTCAGTAATCTAAGGCGATCGACTGTTAAAGCCCTTTCCGTCTTCCCGTCCACTAAATCCAACCACCCTCGGTGACGTTCATGTCCCTGGCCGGACTTCTAGGTGGTCGAGCAGGAGGCCTACTCGCCCCTTCCAAAACACCAGAATCACCTCTCGATACGCTCTTCGATGGGCCGCCGTAATCATAAACAGACGACACTGGAACATTGATGGCCCCCGCATGGAACGGTATCATACTATCTCTCTTTCTCATGGGCGTCACTGGCCCTCCAATCGCAGCCTCGTGAGCCAGACGTTTCTTTTTCCTGGCCCGGTTCCAGATGAAGACGGTCACACCTAACAAGATGCCAAGAAAGGCAAGTGCTCCGACGATAGCCCCTGTAATTGCAGCAGACGAGGCTTCGCCAGAGGAACCGGATGTTTCCGAAGGGATTCCAGGTAGCAGAAGACTCGTCTTTGTGGCGATGGTAACTCCAGCTGTGGGTTGTGATACTTCGGCCGTTCTGGTCGTCTTGGCGTCGCTACTGGTTTTAGGTGAACCATCTTTCGTGGTGGCTGTCACTGTGGCCCCTGGTATGAAGGATTCTGCCATTAAAGTCCCGACACCGGAGGCTGAGCTGCATTGTAAGAGTGTGTAAGTTGCAGTATTGTCAATCGAACGCCAAGTCCAGCAGTCCGTGTTAGGATATGGCCCACTATCC